TGGGAGAACCCACTCCCCACTCCATATGCTTTGACTGTATTGTACAACCCAAGTTTCAGGGGTCTGAAGAGCAGAAGAAATCAGACAGGCAAAGTAGTTCCAAAGTTTAACTACTCTCTGAGGTCACTTAAGTTATCTTTACTAATTCTGTCACAACCTCTTCAGTGCCCTCCTGACTGATCTATTAAGAATGTTAAGTTTAATGAAGACAGTTGTCAGAGCCAGACGGTCTGAAGGCTTCCTTTTCTTTTCTTTTTTTTTTTTTTGAGACAGAGCCTCAAGCTGTCGCCGTGGGTAGAGTGCCGTGGCATCACAGCTCACAGCAACCTCCAACTCCTGGGCTCAAATGATTCTCCTGCCTCTGCCTCCTAAGTAGCTGGGACCACAGGTGCCCGCCACAAGCCCGGCTATTTTTTGGTTGTAGTTGTTATTACTGTTTGGCAAGCCCGGGCTGGATTCGAACCCACCAGCTCTGGTATATAGGGCTGGCGCCTTAGCGGCTTGCGCTGCAGGGCTTCCTTCTCATATGAGCTGCTGCTGGGAGGAAAGAGCATATATTTACATGTGAAATACTCTCTACTCTCTTGACTATGAAAAGGATACTTGCTAGAAAAAAGAACATCTAGCCTAGACTATCTATGGAATTTCAAGTCTTAACTCTGTCCTCTAGTTGTGAGAATATGGCTAAGTACTTCAACTTCTGAAGCCTAAAGATTCCTTGGCTGTCAAATAAATAAAATAATCTGTGATATGCTTATCTCATGTGCGTGAGGTGAGGATGAACTGAAACAAATGCAGAGAGTGCTTTGGAAAGAGTGCAGTTCCATGTAAGTATAAGACGTTATTTTATTTCTTTGGTACTAAAGCTGCTGTTATGAGAAAACACATCCAAATTCCAAACAGAAGAATTAACAATATGAACTAAAGACTGGGATGGCAGAACTTGGATTTTAGTTGTCAAGACTAGAACCCACCTTCCTCTAAGTCCAGGGGTCTGAGGCTTCCCAATGATTTGCTTCAATCCACCACTCCTCAAACCTTAGGGTTACAGAGAAACACACCTCTAGAAAGTAATTGTTACCTATTTTGGGAAAGTGGTGCCACTGTTACTATTAAAAGAATCACAGCTGATAGAGTTCAAAGTAAAAATCTCACATTCTATAGGCCAGGATAAAAAGAATAGAATTTAAAATTGCTAACTTTTGGGTGGTGATCTGAAGAAAAATGATGACTCTGAAATGGAGTCACTTGGGGACAAAGCTAACCAAAGTAACCTCTGGGATGGAGAATCTGCAACATTATAAAAGACACATTTGCTCTACTGCTCAAAGCTGGAGAAACTGTGGTCAAATGATGTTAGGGCCCAGGTGAGGTTTCAGTCCCAGAAACTAATTTTCAAAATGCAACATAGACACTAGCTTGTGGGATGTGCATTATTTCCTTATTCTTCCCTCTAAGTACAACTAAAATCCCTGAATATGAAATATGAAACATAAGACAATTCTGAAAGGTGAAAAAAAAAAAGCAGGACAAATCAGACATCTGGATTCACAGAACAACATGGCAGTGAGTTCCCTGGGGGTTTGTTTGCTTGTTTTCTTTTTTGCTTTATGTATCCTAGATTTTAGGATACCTGGAAATGCCAAAGGGTGCAGACAAGAAAGACGCCCGCCCCCCATCTTTAGCAAAGGACCAGAAATGGGGCAGGTAAGGAACACAGTGAATACTAAGATAGTAACTGCCAACAACACAGAAAAACTGTGGCTTGCTCCACTCATGCTGGAGCCTAGACGTGCACCTTCCCCAGGTGCTAACACAGTACTCCATTCCTCTGTGGGGTGGTATGAGAACCAGCTGCGTAGGGAGCCAGGATTTTATGTCTGACAGATAGAATGAGGTCCCCCATTCCCAGTCCTGGCATCAGCAAAGACCACATGGGAATCTGAACTTCTATCTCTGTCCAACAGCACTGAGAAACATCTCCCCACACGGGGACTGAAACACAAACTTCTGCTCCCACCTTGCAGAAACATCCCTGTTCCTTGCCAAAGGCGGTGTCAGAAGAAGTCAGTGAAAACAGAAGGTCCAGTCTCACAATGCAATATTCAAAACGTCCAGGCTTCAATCAAAAATTACTTATACTGAGAACCAGGAAGGTCTCAAACTGAATGAAAAAAAGACAAAAGATGCCCATGCTGAGATGACAGAGCTTAGAATTATCTGATCTGAGAGTTTAAAGCAGCCATCAACGGGCCATTCTGAACACAAGTGCTGCACATGAAAAACCCAAAGTCTCAGCAAAGAAACAAAGATCCAAAGAACCACCACAGGGAAATTTTAGATTTGAAAAACACAGTAACTTAGAGAAAAACAAAAACAAAGACCCAAAAACTTTCAACAGAGCCAACACGGTGGCTCATGCCTGTAATCCTAGCACTGCGGAAGGCTGAGGTGGAAGGATTGCTTGAGGCCAGGAGTTCAAGACCAGCCTGATCAACATAACAAGATGTCATGTCTACAAAAAATTATAACAAAAAAGCTACCCCCCCAAAACAAATAAATCCCCTCAAAACCAACCAAACAAACAAAACTTGGTGGACATGGTGGTGAGCACCTGTACTCAGAGGCTAAGGCAGGAGGACTGCTTGAGACAAGAGTTTGAATTTGCTGTGAGCTATGATGATACCATCACACTCCAGCCCAGGCAATAAAGTGATAGCCGGTTTCCATTCCCTGCCCCCAACTTCTATCCCAAATGTTCCTTATTATAAACTCAAGAAAAAAGAAAGCCCTCAACAGACAGGTTCAACAACAGAAGAAAGGAAAAAAAAACAGTGAACTCAAAGACAAAGTACCCAGTGTGAATTACACACAAAGACAGTTTGGAAAAAAAATTGAACAGAGCCTCAGAGAACTACAGGACTGTAACAAAAGATGTAATATTCATCTCATCTGCATCCCAGAATGGGAGAAGAAAGACGGTGGGGCAGAAAAAGCACTTAAGAAATCATGACCGAAAACGGTCCCAGTTTAGCAAAAGACATAAACCTACAGAATCAAGAAGCTCAGTGAACTCCAAAGGGGATAAAACTCAAAGGAATCTGCACACAGAAAAAGTCATACTAAAACTTGTGAAAATCAAAGACAAAGAAAAAACATGAAGGCAGGGAGAGAGAAAAGGCTCCTTACCTACAGGGGAAAAACAACATGAATGACAGTGGATTTCTCACCAGAAACCATGGTGGCCAGAAGGAAGTGGCCCCTTTTTCAAGAGCTGAAAGAAAAAGAACCATCAACCCAGAATCCCACACCTGATGAAAACACACTTCAGGGATGAAGGGGATGTTAAGACATTCGCAGATGTAGAAAAACTCTGAGAACCGTCACCACAAGGCCTACCCTAAAAGAATGAAAAGAATTCTCTAAAATGAAAGAAAACAGTGAAAGAAGAACCCTTAACAGTAGACGGAAGAAGAAAACAAAATTTGGGTAAATACAGCAGACTTTCCTTCTTCTCTTGAGTTTTCTAAATCATATTTGACAGTTGAGGCAAAAATTAACATCTGATACAGTTCTAAATGTATGTTAAATAAATATTTAAGGAAATCATATTATAAACAGAGGAGGGTAAAAGAAGAAAGGGAAATAGGGTTTGTACACTTCGCTGGAGTTGGTGAAATGACGCTACTAGTGGACTGTGACACTTTACACATATAAGGAAATACTCAGAACCACTGAACAGCTATAAAAAATACAGATAACAGAAGAAAATCTCCAGGACCTACGGCTAGGCGGAGTTCTGAGACTTGACACTGTAAGTAAGCATGATCCACAAAAACAAAAGTTGACATGCTGGACTTCACAAAATCAGAACCTTTGCTCTGTGAAAAACCATGTGAAGAGGGTAAAAAGACAAAACTACAGGGTGGGAGAAAGTGTTTGCAAACCTCTTCACTGACAAAAGATGAGTATTGAAAATATACAAAAAACTCTAAAGAATCGATAGTAAAACAAACAATGAAATTAGAGTGCAGGGGACATACAGAAACTTTTCACTGAAGGGGGTACACAGATGGCAATGAAGCACACACAAAGATGCTCCACCTTATTCGCCATTAGGGAAATGCAAATCAAAACCACAGTGAAGTATTACTACACCTACCAGAACGGCTCTGGTAAGAACGCTGACAACACCAAATGCTGGTACGAATGGGGGATGCAGAGAAAGTACATCACTCCCACATTGCTCGTAGGAACGTTAAATGGTTCAGCCACTCTGGAAACGGTCTGGCATTCTCTTAAAAAATGAAATATGAACTACCATATGACCTAGTGAATTACACTCCTAGGCGTTTATCCCAGAGAAGTGAAAATACACATTCACACCAAAATCTGTGTGCAAACGTCACAGAGGCTGTATACTTAACAGCCCCCAACTGGGAACATCCAGACACCCTTCACCGGAGGAATGGCTGAATCCCTGTGTTTCATCCATCCCACGGAATACTATTCAGCAAGAAAAAGGAATGAACAACAACCCGAATGAATCCCCAAAGGTTACATACATTTACAGAACATTCTTAAAATGACAGAATTACAAAAAGTGGAGAACAGATTAGTGGTTGTCAAAAGTTAAAAAGTGGGCGAAGGCAGGAGGAAGTGGGTATGGCCAATGACAGTGACACGACGGCTCTTTGTGTTCATAGAAATACCTGACTCTATCACTGTCTCCCGGTTGTGATACTGAACCATCATTTATGCAAGATGTCAGGTAAAGTAAGTGTGTTCTCTCTGCCTCTTACAACTGTTTTTGAAACCTACAGTTACTTCAAAATAAAAAATTAATTAGAATAAAAATAATGCAGTCTGTATGTCTGAAATTTTCGTAATGCAGCGCAATGCAGCAGTGTCATCGAGTTCCCCCAGACCACTAGCAAGATGGGGATTTCTCTCTTGCTATGAAAGATAGTGAGGACAACCAACGCAGCGCTTTCACTTACCATTTGTTTCTGGAGACCATCTAATTTGTCCTCGGCATTATCTTCTTTATCTGTATTGCCTCTAAGTAAAAAAAAAAAAAAGAAAGAAAAAAAAGAAAAAATTACATACCCCCCAAGAGTTATAGCAGCCCCTATACCCATAGTTTTGCTTTTCTCAGTCTTAGTTAACCTGGCCAACCACAGCCCCAAAACATTAAGAAATATTGAGGGAGAGAGATCAGATTCACTCACATTTTAATATAATGTACCATTACAAATGTTCTATGTTATTATTAGGTATTGTTGTCGATCTTTAACTGTGTCTGATTTACAAGGGTCTGGTACTATCTGAGGTTTAAGGCCTCTATCCTCCATGGAGAAGTGGGGCCTACTGTATCGGCCCTGTGTCTGTGAGGCGCTGGCTCTGGAGCCCTGAGGACACCATCATCACGGGATGCTCAAGTCCCTTAGTGGGTCTGCCCCCCATGTCTGAGGATTCTTCGTCCTTGGACTTAAAGGGTCAACAGCAAGTCCCTTCCACAATAGGTACTCAGTCATAGTTTTCCCCTCCCTTTTATGAAAACCTAAGAGAAAAATTATCACCAGTGTTATCACTTCTAAGGAAAAGACCCACAAGAGTTATGCTGTCAAGAGTGATCTGAGGGCGGCGCCTGTGGCTCAGTGGGTAGCATGCTAGCCTCATATACCGAGGGTGAAGGGTTTGAACGCGGCTCTGGCCAAACTGCAACAAAAAAATTGCAGGGCATTGTGACAGGTGCCTATAGTCCCAGCTACCTGGGAGGCAGAGGCAGAGGCTGGAGAATTGCTTGAGCCCAGGAATTGGAGGTTACTGTGAGCTGTGACGCCACAGCACTCTACAAAGGGTGATAAAGTGAGACTCTGTCTCAAAAAAAAAAAAAGTGATCTGACTACGTAGCTCTGATGTCTGAACACTCAGACAATAGTAGGATGAGTCCTCCATTGAGTTACTTAAAATCTGGCAAAAGTCACTTTCTTTAAAGGGAATCCCTCTGCCACTGCTGAAAAGGTCTTTTGGCCTCATTAGCACAGACCCTAATAGCTGCCTGTCTCCTGTCTTGTAAGCTTAACTATTGTTGATACCTTATCTGTTCTTCTATTCCTTTTAAAATTGACTTTGAAATTTTCCTGTCCCCAATATTCTTGTCCTTGCTGCTTGGGTCCTGGAGACAGGAGACTTTCCTACCTTCATTGTTTAATTATAGAAAGAACAGCCAGCCCGAGAAGAGATAAGCTTTAGGCCATACTCAGGTACCTCAGGAAGGGCGTGTTCTCCCTGAGCCAGTGAATCTGACATGAGGATCACCAGTCATGTGGGCCTTTGATAGCATCTCCCAGAAGGCATCTTTATTATCTGTCTACAGGAAACACCTTTGGGGCAGCTGAATGTACACCAGGGGTTAAGGACAGATAGAAAATGCATTTCACACTTTCCTCAGCCTGAGCAGGTGTTTATGGTTGTTCCTATCTGTGCCACCCTCTCAGGCCTGGCCATATCTGCTACTTCTGGAGAGAAGATCAAACCAAAATATTACCAAACACAAGTGAAGAAATAAATGCTGTTTTATAAAAATATACATATTTTGGAGAACTATAATTTAGATTTCTGCTACTGATTTAGATTTTCTGTGAATTTATACATTTTGGGGTTCTGCCATCAGTAAACAAAACTCAGACAAAGGGGAGGCTTCCTTACGTTTTTGATATATATTCCATGGATAGGCTGAAATGCCACGGCTATCAAGTAGTGGCTCCTAAATTCGCCTTACTCATGAACAATGAAATCCTTAAATAATACTAGAATTTCATCTCAGGAAATTCAAAGTCAGGAAGCATGAACTCTTCTTAGTTTTCTGGCAAATATGAGAGGTGTGAAATCTTCCTTGAGAATCCTCTGACCAGACAAGAGACAGGGCTGGTTAAAAAGTGGGGCAGGATGGTGGGCAGCATGGGGAACTCACGAAGAACAGAAACTGGTATTTGGTTCAAAGTGCTTGGAAGTCAAAGAAGAGGTCTGAGGCATAGTCAGGTGTAACGAAAGTAGCAATCCTGGGAGGCAGTGGCAGCGTGGCAGGCTCAAGGGCGATGCCAGACACTGAGGAAGAGACAGGCAGAGCGCTGGGTGTGTGTGAAAGGGGTCACAGGGCGTGTCCCACCATGGTCGGCCCACTCGGCTTCTTACCTTTCGGGAACATCTGAGGTCCCGTCTGTAACACCCTGTTCTGCAGAAAGGGACTTCTCATCTGGCATCCCGACTTTGTCCAGGAAGCAAAGTGCTGGGTCTGCTCGCATGGCGTTGTACCTCTCGTAGCCTAAGCAAGAGCAAGGAGGGATGTCAGCAGTCACACCAGAACTCACAACGCCTGCTTTGAGCTCGAGACGGTCATTCTGCTTCCTTATTAAATAAAAACCCAAATACAAACAAAAAGTACTTCTTTAAGATTAACCAGATCCTATACGTAACACTTCCTACTGGGGAAAGATTCTGGAACTAAAGCAGACACCCTTGAGTAGTGTTTGACCAAAAAACGAGAGCTTATGTAAATACTCGGTGTGAAAAGACTCCAGATGGAGATACAACTCTCACCTGTTTGCTGCTTTCCGACAGTAAAGGGAATCAGACAAGTTGGTCTTGCAACTTCTTCTCCTACTCTGGACCCTTGTTTGAATGGGCCTTGTTTTCTTAGAGTTCAGTTTTATCAATGTGTTAGAAAGGAAAGCTGAACAAAATGATGGATGCCAGGGCTAAAATACAGAGATAACTTCTGCAACTGTTTATTAGAGTCAAACAGACCTGTGGTCTTTGTCGTCCCAAACTCAGTACAGAATCCTAACCGACAGGCCAGGGCCTGGGAACTGCTCTTCACTACATCCCAAAGTCAGTAACAGAGAGAATGCCTGACCCTCAAAAGGGACCTCAGATGGAAGGCAAAACAACGAAAAAATGTCACTTCTAACTCGACAAAGTCCACACATGACAATTTGTTATCTTCTGAGCTTAATGTAATCTGACAATAAGATAGGACTTGGCCACACAAAAGACCCAAATCTACCACCATACTAAACTATGCTGGAGAAAACTTCTTTATGATCATCAAAACCCTTTCAATGTGGCTCCTCGCAAACAATGTCAATCTAGACAGGAACCCACTACAGGGGATGGAAGAACTGGACATAAACAAGAACGAGCCTGGCTGTTGAGAACAAACCTGATTTTACTTTCTTGGGTGTTTAATCTCTACCTTGGTTTTGTTCTCCTGTCACTGCTGATGCAGTCGTATCCTTTATGCTGTAAAGAGCACCTGGAGCTTTTCCTCTGAGGAACTGTGGGAACTCGATCTTTTAATCCACAATGACTCTCCTGCCATCTTCATGACAAGTGCCGCCCACACGCACATATGGCTCGAGAATATCCGCCTTATGTTCTGTATTCATTTGTGCCTTAGGGGAATTACTTGATTACTCTAAGTCTCTCTCATGAGACTGTGCGCTCCCCAGCACAGACCCTGGATCTATTTTTGCTCATCATTATACAGTCAGGATCTAGCAAAGAACCTGACACTGTATATACTCAACAACTGACTGGGTGAGTCAGTTTCGCCTACATTCTCTCTTCTGATTATCACTGTGGGAAGAACCAATGTCCCTGTCTCCCCATGTTCCTGCCTCAGCTTACATGCAAACAAACTTCCCCAACATTCCTGCTGTTTTAAGGAGATTCCTGCCACTCTCTCTTATCTGCTTACTTGTGAAAGAAGGGGTAACTTATCTGGCAGGTGAGATGGTTAAAGCCTCCCTCTACCGTCCTTCACTACCAAGGGAGGTTAGTTAACTGTCTGGGGCCCTCCGTGTGCCTCCCTGCCTGGGAAAATCTCTACTCCATGGACTTGCTCTGGTCATGTGTGAATCTGAAATCTACAGATTCTTCATTTCTGTTTCTCAATTAGCTGTGAAGGTGGCAGCGAGGAAGAGTGACTGATTGATTCAGTTCCTTAAAAAGCCCTAATGACTGTCCTGAAAAAAGCCCAGGAGGAGCCGTGACGCTGACAGTGACACACAGAGCAACGGGACGGGCCTTTGAGGGTGTGGGCTGCCTGCCTCTCTTCACTTAAGTCTGTGAACTCCTCTCTAAGAACAGGGACAGAAATACTAAAATCCCTATCTTGAGAAAAATCTCACAAACCCTGGTGGACCTGGAGGGGCAGGAGTCACTCAATACAATGGGAGCTGGCAAAGCATCATTAGGATTAGGTCTGGCACAGAGGCTTCTTGCTACAGGCTCAAGCCCCAGCCAAAGACTCAGCCCACACTAATAGGGTCAGCTTGGAGATGGAACTGCAGCTATATTCTTCTCATTTTGGAGGACTGTAGGGAGGAGGGAGAGGGGAGGGGGTAATGGATGGAGGGAGGGGAATTGGAGGGTTTACTTCTGTGGTTTATCTTACAAGGGTACAAGTGAATCTTTCTATGAGTAGAATATGAACGTTTTAACACAATTAAAAAAAAATATGGGGAGGTGTGGGGGAGGGGAGGGGAGCTGGGTGGATGGGTGGTGGGAGGGTGACTGGAAAGATCACCTATATGGTCTAACAAGGGTACAAGTGAACTTTTCTAGAACTAGATTATAAATGTTTTAACACAATAACTAAGTAAATGACACAAAGTCGATGTTAACGAGTTTGATGAAAATATTTCAAATTGGATACGAAAACACTACACTGTACCCCATGTTTGCATTAATGTATACAGCTATCATTTAATTAAAAAAGAAAAAATAATAGTTCCAGTTTACTCAAAGAAAAAAAAAAAAAGAGGACGGCAGTGGGCTCTGCCTGAGGTGGACTCAGAGATTCACCACACCTCAATGAATAGCTGTGCGTTTCTTGACAAAGAAAATGGGCGCAGTTCCACAGGCTGCAGTGCTACACACAAGGCATGGAGGAAGGGCAGAGACGGCTTCCTGATACGTGATCCCTAAAAAGTGAGCACCAGGCTGGCTCTCTAAAAATGGCTGAGTATCACGTCTCCACCAGCTGCTGGGTACCCTGGGCTCTGTCACCAGGTAAGACGTGTGTGTGTGTGGCCTGCTGACAGCGAGGGCTAAGGCTGCACAGGAGCGGTCCAGGGTGCTGCTCAGGGAAGACAGGCCTGAGCCCAGGCTTGTAGAATGTAGATGGGCGGCACCCAGCCAGGAGTAGAGTCTGATCTGGATTCTGGAAGGTGCCAGGGAGGATGGGCCTGTGAGGCACCCGTCCAACCCAGTCTAGGTTGACTCTAGTGTAACCACCTGACTGAACTGATCTAGTCGTATCCAGAGTCTACGCGTACGGCTTAAGACCAGCCCCTGAGCACTGAGTACAGGGGTTGGCCTTTTCCCCTCTTTACAGCACGCCCGTCGAACTCATCCTGCACCATCAGAAGGCAATTCAGGCAATGTACAAATCACCTTCCTGGCATCTGCCCATCCGCCCTAACTTTAAATGCCACGTTCACCTCAACTGACAATCTGAATGGAATTGGTGATGCCTTATCTCAAGGTCTCACAGTGTGCTGGGGCAACACTCATTTATCCCTCCCAAACTGCTTCACATTTTGGGAGTGACCTTACACATCATTTGGGTTGACTCTGCATTGAGACCAGGAGATCAACTGATTAATCACAAACTCTAAACCTTAATTAGGGATTAGGAAACCAGTAGGAAAAGTACCAACACCAACTTGCCTGTTCTGGGAGAGAAAGGGTCTAGGGCATCCTCAGATTCTTGTCCTCTTTTGCAAATTCTGAGGCTACGGATTTTTAGTTATACCTTCAGGTAAATGACACTTATCACCACCATCTAACGACCCCTGTTCTCCTGAGCGAGCTTTCTGCCTCGCTGCTTGCTATCACAGTAAGACCTTTCCTGTGACACTGGTTCTGCCACGCCAGGTTGTTGCTGTACTTGCTGGGCACATGCTGCTCTACCCCTGGACGTCACCTTCACTTTCTTCCATGTCTCACCTTCTCCTTCAAGTCTCTACTTTCTTATCTTAAGGGTGTCTTTTGCCAGCTCTGCTTTCCTGGGCCAAAGAGCTCTTCCTTCCTCCCATTTCCAGAAGGGGCAACTGTGCCAAGGCTGTGTGTTTCCCATCTCTGTGTGGGCACTAAAAGCTCAGTCCCTCTGTTCTACCACCACACTGGCCCCCAGGCTTTCAGTGACCTCTGCATTTGGGTGTTTTCCCTGATTTCTTTCAAGTCCAGATTCACCTTAGCTTTCTGTATGCCTGTGGTGGATGTGTTGGGGTTGGAGAGAAGGAGAGGAAGCTTATAAATTCTGTCTGCCATACTGGCAGGACTTCAGCTGTCTTCATTTCACATCACACTGTCACTACGCAGAGATCTGGCCATGTGTCCCAAAACTACCTCTGAAATGAGCCCCAATATCACTAGGCTTTCCACACATACCAAGTTCAGACACTCTGGAATCTATCTGGCTGCCTCTAAGCAGTCTTATGGGTTTTTTCCAAAATTAGGTTAAACCAGGTCTCTGCTGCACTTTGGACTCCTGATTAACCAGGAGAAAACACACTTCTTCCCACTTCAGAACTGGGTTCTAGCCCTACCCTGTCCAACAAACATACTACTAGTCACTATTTAAATTAACTAAAATTACGCAGAAATAGTCACTAGGTTACATGAGTCACAGTTCAAAAACTCCATGGCTACATACAGCTAGGGGCTTCCATAATGGATAGCACAGATGAGGGTATTTCTGTCACTGCACGTAGTTCTACTGGACAGCACCACTCTAGATCAACCCTAGCCATTTGACAGTGTTCCCAGCAGCACTACGCCTCCTGAAGCCCAAATTCTTAACACCAGAATCCAAATTTTGAGGTGATTCCAAATTAAAATATGTATAAGGTATGGTTATTACTTAAATGCAGCTGGTCAGTCTGTAAAAGCTGAAGGATTTTCTTTAAAGAATAGGTGTTAGAAAATTAACCTTCAAAAGGCAGAGTGGAATAGCACCAAGCATCTACTGTGCACCAAACACTGTCCTAGGTGGTGTCCTGTAACTATAGCAACCTTCCAGGGAGGGTGTCTGGATCCTACACTTCCCCCACTGTACAGGTGAGAAAACAGGTTGGAGAAGCGTATGACTTGCCAACTCTGTAGCAGAGTTGACAGATAAAGGCAGGTTTACCTAACTCTTTCCACTTTAAACCCTGCTCCCCAATTTAAAATGTTTGTTAATTCACCTGGCAGGGAAGGTGTGAATCAGGCCTATTGTGGGCAACTACCTCTTGACACTTTCATCATTTGTTTTAACAGTTGGCAGTTGGTTAAAAGCAAGGGCAGGAGCTTAACAGTGACCAGCAAAGTGGGCACTTTTTTCTGTCTTTTCAAGCTTTTCAAGAAACCTCTCTCAGTCCTCTTTAGTCTCTTGGTTACCACATTAAAAATGAGCTTTTCCATGCCATCTTCTATGCTTAAATTTTTCAACCAAGAGGGCAAAAGATATACACTAAGAACATACTGATTATCCAGAAAAACCTTAGAATCCTGGATACGTATGAAATGCTACAACCTAGCATTTCCCACCACTTATTCATCCCTTTATGAAGAAACACTGGGTACCTATCAGGTGCCAGGCTCTATGGCAGATGCTAGGACTCCAAGATTAATGAGAGAAGCAGTCCTAGTCCCGACAAGGGGGACAGGGGAGGTGAGGAAGTACGCACCAAACAAGTGCTTTGTGGCTATCGTTGCCCCTTTGAAGCTCCCCAATAAGATTCATAGTATTACCATAAGCCACATATTCATCTGGCTGAAATTCCCAGAGGAATCTACCTTCTAAGAAGGATGTGTAGCAGGACTATGGAGTTTTGGCAGGCTTAGTCAAAGACTGCCCCCAGGGGTCAGCCTTGTGTGGGGAGGGGGGAACTGCTCCAGAAGGGAAAACATTCACTGAAATACACACCATGCTTGAACACGCCGATGAGAAGGGACTTATCGGCCTCAGCATCCCACCAGTCCACTGGGATTTCCATGTAGTCGATGTCAGGCAGAGGTACATCCAGCTCCCTATGGAAGGAAGGGCGGAGGCTCAGAGTTCCTTCAACCCACACATAAGACAACACAAGAGCTATTGGCCCCGCCTGGTATTAAGCCACATTCTTGCTGCATGCTGAGATGCTGAAGTAACAACAAACAGAAGAATTCAGAAGGCTGTGGGCCAATGTTTCTCAACCAGGGCTTTGCACGAGAATCACTTCAGGAGTGACTTAAGCCCATGAACTTGAATCCAGGCTCCCCTCAGACTGACTGATAGTCCTGGAGGACCTATTCCCACATGGTCTAGTGGAGGGTGTTGGGATCTGTATGTATCAGGTAGTTCTGATGTGCAACTTCAATTGAGAACCACAGCAAAAGCCACCAATACCTGGGTCATGTGAAGGCAGAACTTCCCCCAAAGTTTGAATTCATAGATGACTGAATGCCCGAAATAGCACCCAAATCATCTTGGCTCAACATGTTGCCTCAAATCTCAAGCATTATTTGAGAACAAGACAGTCTGCACTGGCACAGTTGGGAAAATAAAGGCCTTTCAGTGGATAAATTCTATAATAGGCATAAACTCCTGACAGTGGTCTGCTGGGTCAACACTGATCACAAATGGCAGTGCTCCGAGCCAAAAGGATGAACACAGCTTGCTCTGGCGCAGATACGCAGAGATTAGCAGGCCTGTTCCATCAGTCCCCGGAGTTTCTGTCCATGTTTTGAGAGCACAGGTGGACCCTCAGCTCACTGTCTTCATTCAAATGAGCACAGAATCTTGTTCTTTGAACTTTAGGGCTTGGGGGAGAATCGACCTGGATGGTTCTCTCCCTCCACCCAGCTGCCTGGGATAGTTTCTCTGGAGCACTTGAAGTTTCTTCTTCCATAAGGCTCTTACTGTGACACAGGATTGACGGCCCATTGCCACAACCACATCCCTCTGTAGGGACAGTGTTCCCTGGTCCCCACCTTGCCAGGGACCCACTGCTCGTCCTGCATGGCACCATGACTGAATGGCATTTATGGAATGAACTGTTGTTCACTCTCATGGCAACTTCTCTGTAAGAAGCCACAGCTTCTCCACAGGAGCAGGATCAGTGCAGGATGGAGGAAAGCGGAGGAAAGAAGGAAGAGGGAAGGCAACGGATTCAGCCTCGCCGTGACCTACCTAGATGCCACCTGTCACTTCCTGTATGTCTGAGGAAGCCCAGGACAGAGGGCGAGTCAGGTTAGATTACTTCTGCCAGGTAACACCAGATAGAAACAATCAGGGTGAATTCCGCTGCATCTGTACAACTCAAACTGAATCTTTCTACTGAAATACACATCCTCCCTATCCCTGCTGGAAATCATGACAGTGGCTCCAGAAGGCTATCAAATGTTAAAAGTCACTGGGAGGTGCGGTCTTGAGTTCAAGCAGCCCACGGGTAGGGTTGTCTATGACCCTCTTCCCTTCTTTTAGTGCTCCTACGACCATTAGAGCCATTAGCACTGCCCACTGGAGAAAGAGAAAGAAGAAACCCCAGCTCCAGGTAATGTCAAAGCAAAGTCCAAATATCTACACCAGGGGTCCACAAATTTTTTAAACAGGGGGCCAGTTCACTGTCCCTCAGACCATTAGAGGGCTGGACTGCAGGCCCAGGATGAGCTGGCTGCTAAGCAGGACAGGCAGCAGCGGCAAAAACACCCAGTGGGCCGGATAAATGTCCTAGGCAGGCTGCATGTGGCAGGCAGGATGCATGTGGCCCGCAGGCCGTAGTCTGAGGACGCCTGATCTACACCTCTAGGTGTTGTCTGGAATGACAGGCTTGCACCTGGCTAGCAAACTGCAGATCTGGGGAAGGCAAAGGAGGCTGCCTCATTCCCTGAAACCTTGAGAAACTCCCACAGGAATTTTATAGCTTTAAGTTACTAATATACAAAACTTATGTGCAACAAATCAAATAGGCCACAAGGTATTATTAACGTGATTAGCAAGTAAAGGAGAAATATTCAAATGGGTAAGGGTACAAAGGCCAAGCTTCCAGTGTGTACGTGTCAGAGTAAGCCTATCAAACACAGCTGAGACTGTTCTACGATCATTAGTTAAGGTAGAGAAACGACTGTCTCAAAAACAATTTTAGAGCCAGGAGTGGTGTCATGCACCTGTATAGTCCCAGCTAGTTGGGAGGCTGAAGCAGGAGGATTGCTTGAGCCTTGGAATTTGAATCCAACCTGGACAGTGAGTGAGATCCCATCTCTCAAAAAAAAAGAAAAAAAAAAATATATATATATAAAGCACTTTTATAACACTACTGAGGGAGAAAAAATGAACTAAAAAACTCACCAAAAGCTGTGTTTCGAAGAAACATTTTTTCCTTTATTTTATTTGTAGAAAACTTGGCTTAATTGTCCTTCCTCTACGTGCCTGCTTGACCATCTGGGTAACTGTTCCTGGGCAGGGTGGGAACACCGGCCTCTTCATGCACAGGACAGTTTCACCAGCTCCTTGAACTGCACTTTATGTTAATTCCTTTGACAGTGAGAGGTGAGGATCTGTTTACCTGGCATGAGTTCCTTCAAACGCTTTATCAGCTGCTTCCCCCAGTATTTCAGCCTTCAGGTAGTACAGCATCCGGACTCGCAGAAGTACCCTATGAGAGGCGAACATGTCAACAAGAACAAATTAGAACCCACGAGGTTAGTTGTATGAAGTGATATACAGGAAAGCACCAGAGGTTTCAAGATTGGAAAGAACCCTTATGTCTTCTGGTATATCACTTTTTCTTTTTTTTTTTTGAGACAGAGTCTCACTATGGCACCCTCAGTAGGCACCCTCAGTAGAGTGCCATGGAGTCAACAGTTCATAGCAACCTCAAACTCTTGGGCTTAAGCAATTCCCTTGCCTCAGCCTCCCAAGTAGCTGGGACTACAGGTGCCTGCCACAGCACCGGCTGTTTTTTTGCTGTTATAGTTTTCATTGTTGTTTGGCAGGCCTGGCCTGGGTTTGAACCCGCCACTCTGATGCATGTGGCTGGCACCCTAGCTGCTGAGCTATAGGCACCAAGCCTTATATATTACTTCTTACCTCAACTGTCAATCAACTCAAATAATTTTGAGATTTTTTTTCTTAAGCCTAGAGAACTAAGAATTCTCTAAGAATTAACAGCCATTGCTGATCCTTAAGTCTGGCTGGTAGTAGCTGACAGCCTGCTTAGGAGAAACTGGAACAGAATATCACAGTCCTGCCTACTGAGCTCTAGCTCAATCAGAGGAGGGCTTTCCTGAAGATAGAAGACAGGGGAAGCTGTTGCCCTTTCTTTAAAGAGAAGCACACATGCTGGTATTTGCCAATATCTATACCATGACGGAATACAATTTAAGTCTTCACTTATCCTCCAAACGGGAAGCAAATCAATTCAGAGGACAGATGGACAATTCCTTACAGAGAGCTGCCTCCTCCCAGTTGGCATCTGAACTCCAGGGGAAGTACAGCTAGCTGGCTTAAGTCTCTAGCACCCCTGGTTTGGCCAAATGAAATAATCCATTAATATTTTGGAGGGTGGCTTTCTTTTCTTTCTTTCTTTTAAAAGTCTTTTTATTGATCCTAAGTATACTTCCAGAAGGTGTACACTGCATAAACACTTGGCGTGATGAAGTCCCACAAATGGGACACATGTGGGTCCCAGCAGCTAGAATGGGAGGCAGAACCCTTCCCCTCCTGGGTACTCCCAGTCACTATCCCACCCCAATGTATAACCACCAACCTGACTTCTTTTAACTTGGATTTGAAGTAGTGCTTTTTACCCTTTTAAAGATTCTTTTAGTGACAATTTCATGCCTCTGCTAATATCCTGCTAATAACAATGCACACTTTGAGTGCTTACTACCATCTCCAAAGAGCCTGCACTTTCGTGAACAGTAGTTTTATTACAGTACAGGGCATGAGACCTATCTTCAAATATTTGAAGTGATCAAGGGAAGGATTGGACTTTATCTGTAAAAGAACAACAACAAAAAATCACAACCCAACAGCCATAGCATCATTAAGCTGAGGTTACAGGGAGGCAGGAAAAATCAAGCAAAACCTCTCATGGTAATAAACTTTTGATAACCAGAGTGTTCAAACGGTCCTACAGGAATGGTGGAGAGATATTCGGAGCTGAACTGGATTAGATGGTTTCCAAGGACCAAACACATTGTTGAATGATGCAGGTATCTGTGTGCAAACTTATCATTATTTTGTGGCTGAGTGCCCTAACTTCCCAAGTCTCAACTACATAAGAACAGTCTCATTTTAAATCACCACTTTTTGCTGCCTTCACCCACCCCCACCCCTGCCGTTAGCCCATGGGTAGAAAGAACACTCTCTCAAATGCATCCTGAGAGATAACTGGAGGCCATGGATGACAACACAAATTGGAAGAGGAAACAAGTCGGCGTGGGGGCTGAGAGCAGCGGCCACTGGGAGGGACAGTGTTCTGCCCTTGCTACTGTGACCTCAGGGTAGAGGGTGTCCTGCCCGGCTTGAGAGTCAAATTAGAAAGATCCTCAGGGGCACATTGCACTGGAGAGGGGCAAGGCTTTGGGGGAGAGGAGACACCACTGCAGGAGTCAGAGGAGCTTTAGCGTGAATGGCTTCAGATCTGGTTCAGACCAAATCACACATCCTGTCTTCCAGACCTTGCATGGTTACGTAGCACCGGAGCATGAAGTAGTTCCCAGGAGCAGGGCTGCCACCAGGGATGGGAGGGGGGCACTCACTTGTTGCAGTGCTGTTTTAGGTGTTTCTTGTAGCCGTCATCGTGCAGGACCACCTCCGGGTTGCAGGTGGCCAGCCAGTCTGCATTCTTCAGCTCTGGGAGGAGCAGCTGGTTCTTTGTCTTCTTCCCCTTCCTCCCTCTGGGGACCGGGGCAGACAGCCCTGAAACAGAAACAGTGTAGGCCAAGTGGGTGAGGCAAGGGACCTCAGGCATGGGTGTGAGAACAGAGCGGGGCTGGAGCTGCAAGAGGCAGGCAGGCCAGCCACACTGGGTGGGCCCTGCACGAGACCCCACTCCTCAGCACACAGGTGATGATGGTGGTGAGGCCATGTGCCTGGTCCCTTACTTAGGAAACCCCAGGACTATTCAGTCAGTGAGGACGGCTCAGAGTAACACTGTCCGGATTTAGAAAGGTGTAACCCAACCTGTGCCCTTTGGGAACTTATAACCTAAAGGGGGAAAAGGAACACTTGACCTGAAACTAGAAGGAGAACTTTGGCCAAGCGTAGGGAAAGAGAGGTACAGACAGAGGTGGCTCAGGAACTCAACAGTGAAGTGCGAAAGGCAAGTCTCAGAGCCCAGGTGTGAGTCCCCAGTCTGGGGGAGCAGCCCTGAGACTCAGTCAGTGGGCAGGACTGGCTTGGGACTCTTCAGGAAGGCCCAACTACACTTAAACAAAACATCAGGGGCAACACTGGACGATTCTGAGAGAGAACTGAAGGCATCACCCTCCTTCCTGCAGGTAACATTCGGAAATAGATCTGAGGAAGAAAGTCCCTCAAAGCATGGCCCCGGCATGAAGAGAGAGTGAGAGTGAGTGCAGGAGCTCGTGTCTCGGGTGCAGCCCTGCCACCTCTCACCTGAGTGGTTCTGGAGGGTCTGGGCCTGCCCATCTTTGGTGGGTGTAATCAATTCCCAGATGAAACTCTTGATCTTCTCATCTCCCTTATAATGCTTGACACAGTAGACCAGCAGGGCACGGCAGATCACCTCCATGTCCTTCTCGTTCAGATGCCACTTGAATCGGCCATGAGTCAGGATGTCCTTCCACCGGCCCCAGCTGACAGTGGTGATACAGAAGGGTGTTGGAGAGAGGAAGGGCCCGGCATGCACAACCCCCCACCCCCACCCCGAGAGCCAGCAACGAGAGTCTAGAGTGCTTCTCATTCTCGGCCTGGTCTGTGGGTCTATTAATCACCCCAAAGGGCTTTGTCCTGAAAGGTCTTTGAGGATTGCATGACTACAGTATACCAAATGTCACTATGGTGACCTGAGCATTGGACGCTGAGAGCTTCGTAGAGCTACTAGAATGTCAAGAAGGGAGGGACCAAAATATTGAGAACAGGGAATTAATTCTGAATTAAAAAAGAATCCAGCTGCAGTATTTAAGAGCGATGGTGAGTTCAAAGAAGCGGAACCTTCGATTTCTACCAGAGCCAGAGTCTCCCAAGAATCACGCCGGGACCATAACATCTGTTACACTGACTCCTGATGAATTCTTGGGGGAGAAAAAGGAGGAAATCAGTGCCAGGCAGCAAATGAGCACCAGAGGTTTGTTGGGACAAGCGTGTGAGAAAATCATGGCGTGTCTACACTGGCTGCAGAGCATACTATGACTTAGGTGGATTCCAGGCAGAAAAGACAGACCCCCATCAGTGCCATAATTCCAGAGCTGGCTAGAGAGATGCCCTAGGCAAATCTCAGGGTCTGAAAAACAGGGGCAGTAGGGGGCAACAACAAACAAGCAGAGCCAATACCCACCCAAAGATGAGCAGATTCTTCTCCACCCGGAAGCACTCGGCTCGGAGGTAACGCCTGGCTTTGTCACTCAGGCGCCTAGACCTTGTGGGCCTTTCATCTGAGTCACTGTCTAACTCTGAAAACTCCATGAGCTCATCTTCCTCAAATGAGTTGTAGTGTTTGGTCTGCTTTCTCACGCGAGGTCGGTCGATCACTAAGCTTTCCTGGAAATGGAGAGGACGGTTGGGAGAAGGCCCTCTTCTCTCTCTTCCCGTCAAGAACACAAACACACCCTGCTGCTGTTCCTTAGGACGCATTTGGGAAAGAGCCACACCTGGTCTAGTCTTCCCTTCCCAGCACACCTGCTGTCCCCGTGAGCACAGGACAAGCAGAGGAGATTCTCCAGGACCTGCTCAAGTTGGTGTGTTCCCTGGCCCCCAGTGCCCAGAGGGGCAGTCTGCCCTTGCCAAGGACTGGAGTAGTGAGCCCCAACTGTTCTAACCCAGCATGCAGGGAGCAGTTTGCACTCTGGGGACAGGACAAGCCACAGAATTCCACTGCTCAGCAACTTTCTTAAGATAAATGCATATTCTGGCTGCTTCTATTATCTGCCTTCTGCTGGTACTGATCTACTAACCTTTTTGTCTTTTGCCAAAAATACAAACCCCAGCTTTGTAACCCGGTTCGTCCTGCATCCTGGCCACACCCATCGCATGTTCCCCAGTCTCCTTTGTTTCCTGTTCCTCACCCCTTCTCTTCTTCTCAAAGCCAGGCTAAACTCTTAACCCTCCTTTGTGGACCAGGGTTACCAAATTTCCAGTGTTGTCCCTGCTTTGAACACAGTGCTTCCGACCTTGGAAGGCTCTAACTGCCTACTTCCCCTTTTCACCCCCACTGTCCTGTACACATAGTAACTTCTTGATCATGACACTAGAGAAACACTTAGACCAGCTTACTAAAGAAGATGGCAGAATCTTCTCAAAGGAAGAAAAACAGCACTTCTATCCAGAGAAAAGAGGATGGATTAACCAAAGTCTGGTGGTACCACAGAAGAATGTGCTGACTACTAAATAAGTCAGCTACAAACAGGGGCTGTCTGCTGGGTTTGTAGGTCCCCCAGAGCTCAGCACTCACCTGAGAAGACGGGTAGAAAGGGTCACCCTGATGGGTCAGAGATAGAGCAAGGGAAATGACATTTAAGGGTGCATCACTGTGAACTGGCACTGGTGCCAGTGGTATTCATAAATGCTATCCTGCAACCTTGGGGGGTGTGTTTCGCCACCTCCTTTTAATACTTGTCTCAGTGAGGTCAAGTGCTTTGCCCAAATGCATACTCTAGTTTCATTCCAAAATAGCTTCTTTTTCTCACATACAGAAATAGGAGAACTTGAGATACTGAAAGAATGGTGGTAAAGCTAACCAACTTTTCTTTGCCATGGTTTTTACCCCTTTCTATTATTGATCAGAGGTACACTTTCTTTCACAGGAAGTGTTGAAACAGAGGTAAAATAATCATATGCCTGGATGGGACGCTGGCTGAACCTGGCTTGTTTGGTTAGCTGCAGTTCTCATCACCTTTGTCTCACTTCCTGGGTATCCAGACGACTGAATGTTCCATAGGTCATTTTAAAATTCCAACAGTTAACATTTATCAAGTGTTGTCTACATGCCAGGGGTGCTGTTAAGTAGTTACAAATATCACTTCACCTAAGAACCAAGACTCAGGAGCTAATAACGACTTGAGCTGTGTAGGAATTCATGGTCATATACGACACCAGTGGAATGTTCAGTGGAGTAGTAAGCTGTACCTTTTCATTCTTTGCTTCAGTGTCTAGTTCAGCTATTTTAGCCCATTTCTGCCAAAAGTTAGGATCGTCTAAGGAAATATCTGTTCTGTTTCCTGAAGCCACAAAGCTAGCCTGCGAAGAAAACAAGAGTCAATAAACTGCACGTAAGCACAGTGCAAATTAATAAACACTGTGTATTTCAGATGTGCTAGAAACTTAAGTATATGGTCTACCTACATTCAAAACCAACTCCCTTAAAAGACCTTCTACGATGTATGTGAAAATCTCAAAGCTTTTCTTCTGTTAAAGATTGGGTGAGAAAATTACAATTTCAACCCATGGAATCATTTTTTGGGAACTTAAACTTGGAAGTAGGAAGGCAAGTCTTAGAAGACCATGGCAATGTGCTAGTTGGTGTCAAGAGAAGGGTTAATTCTTACAACTTTCTAGGCTTGGTGTGGTGGGTCACACCTGTAATCCTAGGAGGACCTAGGAGGACCTGTGACTAGGAGGACAAGGCAGGAGGCAGGAGGACTGCTCAAGGCCAGGAGTTTGAAAATAGCCTGAGCACCATAAGTGAGACCCTGTGGTGCTACAAAAAATTTAAAGATTAGCCACACGTCTTTAGTTCCAGCCACTTGGGAGGGTGAGACAGGGCAGCATTTGAGCCCAGGAGTTTGAGGTTACAGGAAGCTATAGTAACACTAACACTATTAAAAAAAAAAAAAAAGAAAGAAAAAAAGAAAAACCCAATTTTCCTAGATTTAATCTTTCTTTCAGTTTAAGAGTCACCAAACGTCTGCTGCAGAAAAGGTACCCGGCTGGGCAATATGAAGTGTAAAGATAAGACAGGTGATGGATCAACCATCTCTCCTCTTCCAGCAGCACACGGAATGTCCTACTGAGAAAGTCCCACCAGAGTCACCAAACAGGTCACAGACCTCATACAGAAATCAGAGAAGCCTGAGAGTGGTCTGTAAGTTCCAAATCCAGTGATCTGAGCAGCAGAGGAAACAGGCCCCTAGACTAGAAGCCGAGAATCTTCTACTTCTCTATTTTTAGAGATGAGGTCTTGCTCTTGCTGGTCCCTTACTTAGGAAACCCTAGGACTATTCAATCAGTGAGTACAGCTCAGGGTATATTGCTCAGGCCAGTCTCCAACTCCTGAGCTCAAGCAGTCCACCCACCTCGGCCTTCCAGAGTGTCAGGATTATACGTGTGAGACACTGCACCCAGCTTGAAGCTGAGAATCTTAAGAAAAATCTCATTTTTATGAAACGGACCAAGTACTTACTTGAGGGTGAGGAATAGTGTGTTCGCTGGAGGTTTCCACCCTGACAGGGATGACACTGTTCTAAAAGGGAGGGGAGCCACTCAAAGGTTTCAAAACGAACTATAAACTATCTCATCTGTCCTGCCTGCTAACCATCAGCTCTCAGCGGTTGAGAGAGGCATTTTCTTCCTATGGTCCCTCACTATTCATTCTTTCCCCAAGGACCTGCATCTCCAGAGAGGTCCACAGACTAGCTGTGCAGCCAGGCCATTTTCCAGGGTTTGCATGTGGAGAAACAAAAGCCTGCTAATGCGGGTCAGAGAATCGACAATTCCCTTTCCCTCCCACCCTCGACGCCTCTGGAGAGAAGCGCCCACACCTTGGCGAAAGTGGACCCTTTGCCCTCAGACTGGATGGTGATGGTGTGGGTTCTCCTCTGCAGAATCTGGTCTATGTCCTCTTCACAGAACTTGGAGCCTTCGTCTTCTTCATCCATTAAGGCTCCATAAGCCCCTTTCCGGAGCAAGTCCTCTACCTCCATTTTTGAGAGCTGCTGTACCTGGAAAGGTCAACCAAAGGCTATTCACTAAGTGTACAGGAAAAAAATTAGCCTCAAATCCAGTCTTTATGATTATGCAAACTCCCTTCACTAACTGTACACGTTAGAACAAAAGGGACCTGGGCACAAAGTTCAGAAAATGAAAACCCAGAGAAAGCCCCTCTCCCCCAGAGGGGGCAGGCAGACAGTCCTCCACAGGGCGCTCTGGGACACACCAGCACGTGATCCAAGGCCTAGCACGCAGCAGGACGTCAGCTACTATCAAGCGTCAGACGCCATTAAAACCACATACCATTAAAGAGGTATTTTTGACATCTTTCTTTATATTTTAGTTTGAGCCTGTATCTTTAAAAAATCTCCAGATGTACTAAATGAGCTGAAGAACAGTGATTTATTCATTATTAAATAAATATGTACATTACTATTGGAAATGATGTCATTTCTTAACTAAAAAAATAAAAAAGGATCCCGTGCCAAGTGTGATCTTCTCGATGCTTGATGAAAACAGGAAATGGTGTTCAAAATAGCCTTTCTTGGTTCTAATTAAGAATCTGGTTCTCTTTACATCAGTCACAAGAGGGAATTCCATGACTGCCAGCATGGGTAACTTGAAGGATTATACTAGCAACACAAGCATAGCTAAGAGGATATAGAACATCGGCCCTAAAGATGACTTGTTTAGAAGGTTCTGGTTCCCAGTCACTGACGCCCTGAGCCCAGAGATTAAGGAAACACTCTATTTTGTTTGACTACACTTAGAGAAATTTGAGAATCTTGGCTGCAATTTTTATATAAGATTTTAACTGTCATATTTCAAGCTATTAATTTCTTCATTCATTTAATCACTGACCATCTTTAACATGCTGAGCCGGGGGGACACAGATAACACTGGTCCCTTTATACCCTCAAGGCTCAGAGTCTGGAGTATGAGGTAAGGACTGGTAACAAGTACATATTTACATGGTTAAGAGTGTTAAGATCCATTGGCTTCTAATGGGCATAGTTAAAAACTTTGTTTACTGAAATGTGATACCGCGTTGGGCAATCCTGACACGTAATTGCTCATACAGATTTCCGTTATCCGTCTAGAAAATGCCGAGACCTGACTCTGAATCATCCCTTACTGTAGGGAATTCCCCAATAACAATGTGAGGGCCAACTCGATATAGTGAAAATGAACCCTGAGCCAGCTGTGGGAGAGAGAGGCCTGAACTGTGTGACAAGCACTCCGAGAGGCTCCTGAGCAGGCCTGTCTGACTCACCCCATTGGTGCCGCCCTTCCGGTTGATGTCCTGAAGCACAGCCTTGTCCAGCCCCAGTTTCAGGCTGGCCTTGTCAAACATCTCCCGCTCGTAGGAATTCCGAGTGATGAGGCGATACACCTTCACAGCTTTGCTCTGGCCTATGCGGTGACATCGGGCCTGAGCCTGGGAAGAGGAGGGTCACACACACCATGTCACCATGCATAGCGGCAGTCCTGGGAATAGGGAAGTGCTTAAATACCATGGGGTGTGAGGGGCCAGTTCTCCTATGAGCCATGGGACTGCCTCCAGAACGGAATCCTGTCAAGTGTCAGCCGTCACCTTTGGGGTCCCTCATTTCTTCTCCCACTGTTTACTGACTACTGTCCACCAGGGATAAGGCAGCAACATCGGTGTGGTGCCCTGCTTCTCCAGCTGTGGTCTGAACAAGGGGACTGTCAGGACCCTGTGCTGCCCTCAAGCTGCCAGCACCACTGTTTTACTTATACTACAGAAATTTTCAAACATAGATACAAATAAAGAAAAGTACAGTGACCTCTTATGGACAATCTCATTTAATTCTACCATATCCCTACGCTCCAAGATAGTCAGAAAGTAAACCCAGGCATCACACTGTTTCATCCTCACACATTTCAAAATGTATTTCTAAAGATAAGAACTCCTGTAAAATACATCACATAACCAGTGCCACTCTAAGTTAATTCTTAGTGCCTACTATCTAGTTGGTGTTCTAATTTCCCTGCTTAGCTCGCAATTTTTAAATTGTGCTTATTTGGATGAGGAGCCAAATAAGGCCCACAATCACCATCAGCTGATGTGCTTCAAGTCTCTCGTAATCTATAGATACTCCCTGCCTTCAACTTCTTTTTTCAAAAGCAATTTGCCAAAGAGATCGGGTATCTGTCCTACAGTTCCCACAGTCTACATTCTGCCAACTGCATTTACCTCTAAGCTCTGTATCTCCTTTAAACTAGGAGTTACATCCCGAGATGTGACCAGGCGAAGAGTATTTCACAGGTAATGTTTCAATTTCCATCATGAAGTGTGTGGTACCTGGTTATCTCTCTTTTGAACTGATGATTATCGTCTAGATCCACTACTTTATCAGAGGTTACAATTCCCCTCCTCAAGTTTTTGGTAGGCGAGTTCATATAGGAGAGACAAACTAAATGTTTGATTCTTTCTCTTTGAGCAATTTCCAAAATAACACCTTCTAAAAGTTGCCAATGAAGATTTTTATTATTATTAGTTTTTTAAGGAACATAGTGAAGCCATGCAGATATGCATATATATCGTATGTTTTATTGCACTGCAGTTATTATTCTTATTGCTGTTGAAATTTGGCCTGTGGAAGCCTCTTCAAGTTGGCTGCAAAGTTCTTTTTTTTTTTTTTTTTTGAGACAGAGCCTCAAGCTGTCCCCCAGGGTAGAGTGCCGTGGCATTACAGCTCACAGCAACCTCCAACTCCTGGGCTCAAGCGAGTCTCCTGCCTCCGCCTCCCAAGTAGCTGGGACCACAGGCGCCCGCCACAACGCCCGGCTATTTTTTGGTTGCAGCTGTCATTGTTGTTTGGCGGGTCCGGGCTGGGGATTCGAACCCGCCACCTTAGGTGTACGTGGCTGGCGCCTTAGCCGGTTGAGCTATAGGCGCCGAGCCGGCTGCAAAGTTCTTAAACATAACCTGGTCAAACATGGAAAGGAAGAGGACCAGAATAAACTGCAGTGTTGGAACGGATCTGGAGTATGAACTCATGGTTAGGTGTGCATGTGTGCACACATACACGTGTGTACACATGGATACAGACGCTGGCGTGGATATGTGTGATTTAGGTCTATATGTTATATCAAAGACAGCAGTCTTTTTTTTTTTTTTTTTTTGAGACAGAGTCTCACTGTGTCACTCTCGGTAGAGTGCTGTTGTGTCATAACTCACAGCAACCTCAAACTCTTGGGCTTAAGTGCTTCTCTTGCCTCAGCCTCCCAAGTAGCTGGGACTATAGGTGCCTGCCACAACGCCTGGCTATTTTTTGGTTGCAGTTGTCATTGTTGTTTAGCAGGCCTGGGCTGGGCTTGAACCCGCCAGCATCGGTCTGTATGGCTGGTGCCCCTCTCACTAGCTACGGCCGTCTAGCCAAAGACAGCAGCCTTCTGACCATTCTCTTGCTTTGTCAATATACTCCACTCTCCTCTGTATACTTCTCAGTCCTGCATTCGGCCCCTTTTTTTCAAGGAGTCTTAGTTTGTTTCAATGGGAAATGGTTTTTATTCTCCCTGAGTAGGCAGCAGAGGGGTGATTACTGACACTGGGAGGGAGGGGTGGCCGTGGCATGTGTGCAAGTCCTGAACACCCAGGGCTCCTTTGTTTTGAACAGAGGTGGCCCAGAGCAATGAGGGATATGGCTCTCCCTCCACGGTGAGTTAGTGGCAGAGCTGGGCTGTACCCTTCTTGCTCTTGCCCTGTTTTCTTGTTCCCAGAGTCCAGAACAGCAAGTGATGGGACCCCTGGCTCTGAGGCAAGGTTATTTAAAGGAACCGAGTATCCCAGAGAGTGTAGTTTGAAGGCACCAGGCCCAGAGAGAAGGGAATGAATCTAAGCAGGGATGTGAAGTCTGCCCACCAGGGGCCCACCTGGTGCCAGAGTCCCAAGGACATGGAGTCCTCATCCATGCCCAGCCCACATTCTCCACCCAACCAGAATTCCTATAACTCAGTGCTAAGGTAGCCCCAAAGACTGAGAAGGCCAGTTAAGTGCTGGGACAGAAGAGAGGCCACTGGGAAGGGGACACAGCAAAGGGCTAACATAGCAGGGCCCAGAAGGCCCCAGGCTGTGTACAGGTTTCCTTTGCCTGGGCCAGGACACTGCCTGCTGCCTGGTCACTAGATTACACAGATCCTCCCTACAATAAGCTTCTAGTTAACTTTGCTGCCCCCAATTTGAACAGCCTGATCTACCAAGTAGTTCTTGGGGCAGAGGAAGGCAGAACTTATGCTCTACTCTCATTTTCTCAGATTTTTTTTTTTTTTTTTTTGCAGTTTTTGGCAGGGGCCGGGCTTGAACCTGCCACCCCAATATATGGGGCTGGCGCCTTACTCCTTGAACCACAGGCGCCGCCCGGCTTTCTCAGACTTGATTACAATGATAGTTACTTCTCTGGAGACCTACATCCCACCGAAGAAGGAGCCTGTGGCTGGCGGGCAGGAGTTTATGTGCAAGGCCACCATGTGTCGGCAGTAGCACAGACCAGGGCCACCAGCAGAACCAGAGCAACGGTCTTCACAGTGCAGAAACAGCTCACTCTTCCTCTCTCTGGCCAGGCTGCAGGGCAAGTGGCTGAGACAGTCCAGCCACAGGTGGCGTGAGGAAGTGGTATGCAGAGACAGCAATCTGGAAGCCCCAGGGGTGCTCGCTGCTGCCAGGCTGGTCATGGTTCCTAAGCCGCCTCAGTGGGCAGACACAGGAAGTGCGCACAGTACACGCCACCACGTGCACAGAGCAGATAAAACACATCTGCAGGGACCCCGATACTTCGAGTTTAAATCAGGACTGTGGGATTTTAATTTCATCAACCTCACATCTGTATTTCTTTTCAACCATGTTAAAAAGCTTGATCTTCCTGGGAGGTGCCTGTGGCTCAGTGTGTAGGGCGCCGGCTCCACATACCAAGGGTGGCAGGTTCAAACCTGGCCCCAGCCCAAACTGCAACAACAACAACAACAACAAAAAACCTGCAAAAAGCTCGATTTCCACCACACCAATATCATTACTCGACTGATTTATCCTGTAACATTCTCAAAAAAAAAAAAAAATACCATTACAACTCAACCAAAACATAGTTACTAAAAACAATATCAGATTCATGTCTTTGCCCCACCACTTAAGGTTATATTCCACTAAGTATGTACAGTCAAATTACAGTATTTCAAATACACACTTGAAAGTAGGTTTCTTTGGCTGCAGTGGCAAGGCTAATAATCCTGAAACAATTTTTTGTTAAATCTAGGATTGAGCAATGAGTAAAATATACTGGGAGTAATGGGAGTAAAGGCTTTCACTGGAGAGGGAAGTTATTAACATGACGAAAAAGGAAAACTAGAACATAAAGTCTGCGGTGTCTGAATGGATTGGAGGTGTCAGCGTTAGCTCATGGTTAGGAATACATACAGAGACGGAGACGGGTATATACTGTGTGTACATTTATGTATGCATATACATATACAAACGAATGCATATGTTATACACATACACACATTTATATTCCCTATGTATGTGAGACGGCCTCAAAGCTGTGTCATGCCAGGAGCAATGAAAACACCTAACTTTCAGACCTTCTAGACGACATTCTCCATAACACAGAACCAAAGCATGTTAGAGAAATGGCTAATTGTGGGCAGCTCACAGATAGAGAAAGTATGGGAGGGGCCTAAAACATATTACTGTGTCAGATGTAAGAAAGTATTCAAACAATGATGGAGAGATACCAGAACAACACTTGAAGCTTGACGAGACTTCAACTGGCTAAGTTGAAGACTATCTGACCATCAAAATAAAGACAGTAATAGACTGTAGTCCGCTGAATAAAAACAACCCAAGAGTCCATACTAACGTAAATAAACGTGAGAAAGAGGGGAAACTCTTCTTTACATACAGTAGAATACCAACTAACATGAAGCGTGACCAAGTAAAAAATTACCACTCTGTAACCATCACTGTGATGACTGATTCAGGCAAAAATAATCAATGGAAGGTGAAACAGGTGGGTAAAACTTTGATGAGGAACAGCGATGGGCTCAAGGAATTGCTCCAAAATTACTTACTAATTTCAAAGGGAGAAGTAGCAATTCCATAAGGAAGAAATATGACAGACACCACTTAACGAAGTGATCAAAGTCAAATCATCAGACAAATGGACGCTGTTATTCCTGATGTGGGATACTGAGAAGGATGCATCATTCTGTGCTAGTACTCAACCTGAATCCAATCTCGAGACAACACAGACAAAACCAAACTCAGGGACAATCTCTAAAACAACTGGTCAGTACTCTGCAAACACTTGAAGCTCATGAAAAAGAAAAAACAAAACCAAAATACACTGAGGAACTGATCCAGGTCAAATGCAACGAAAAGAGATACGACAATTAAACATAACAGGTGACACTGGCTTGGAT